AAAAAATACCCTGTTCCTCATCTCTAAAAAAAAAAGTGTTGAAGAGCAAAGATGTCAGCTTGAAAACTAATGTGTGCCTGACCCAAGCCATGCTATTTTCAATAACCTCATATGCATGTGAAAGCTGGACAGTGAGTAAGGAAGGCCATAGAAGAATTGATGGTTTTTGAGTTATGATGTTGGTGCAAAGTATTAAAGGTGCCATGGGCTGCCAAAAGAACCAAGAGATCAGTTTTGGGAGAAGTGCAGCCAGAGTGCTCCTTAGAGGCCAAGATGGCCAAACTTCATCTCTCATATTTTGGACATATTGTCAGGAGGGACCAGTCACTGGAGAAGATATCATGTTTGGTAAGGTGGAGGGTCAGATTAAAAGAGGAAGACCCCAACGAGATAGATTGGCCAAGTGGCAGCATCGATGGACTCAAGCATGGCAACAGTAGTGAGGTTGGCTCAGGATCGGGCAGTGTTCCATATTGCTGTGCATAACATCGCTATGGGTTAATACCGACTCGATGGCACCTAACAAAAACAACACGTTTGAACTGCAACCTTGTGGTTCAAATTGACCTTTTGGTCTAGTGTTTCTCCTACAGCACCACATCAGGACTCCATTAAGCTAACAAAATCTAATACCATTGTTCTTGTTAATAGTAATCAAGTGGGTTCCGACCCATAGCGACCTTGTATAGGGTTTCCTAGGAGCAGCTGTTGAGCTTGAACCGGCCACCCTGCCGTTCAAACCAACTTTGCAGTCCAGCACATGAACCCACAATGCCACACCAGAAATCCCTAATATCATTAACTCTTTAAATAACCCAGAATACCCCATTTGCTCTAATTCCCTGCTCATTAATGTTATCTACATCATTTGACTTTCCAGAGTCTTCTTTGAAGTGAAACAAAGAGTTAGGATTATGCAGAAGTCCAAACACTTGACAAATTTTTGTGTGTGTGCCAAATTAATAAACTGACATCATTTTTAAGGTATTACATTTATTTGTTTGCTTGTTATTTATTTTTCCTTTCCCTTCACTCAAGACAATATGTGCTTCCACTTCTGTAAATTTCATTTCTTCTGTAAATTGGCATCTTAATTATATATTTCCATCTGATTTCATTTTTTTAAAGTGTCAATTCATAATTAATTATGTAACTCACTCTGTGACACTGAAAATACTCCATTTTTAAGCCTATACCATGGTAATGTATCATGAGAGACAAGAAATTGACTTTCTCCAAGAGATACTTTTAACTCCACCACATGCTTCAGTCAACAACAGGAAACAACACAGTTTCTCAAATAAGATTGAAAAAGAACCAGGTTACTTTAATCTGAGATACATAAATACCAATAGTATTCTTGGAAGCTCCTGTTACTATAATAATATAAATTTAATGTTACTCTCAAACAGTAAGAAGCATCATAATATTTCTGTCAGTTAAGAAATTCTTCTGTAAACAATAAGTTGATTACACACCCTCCTCATTGCCGTCTTCATCTCTTTGTTCCTAAATGTGTAGATGACTGGATTAAAAAAAGGTGTAAGAACTGCATCAAAAATGGCCAAGTATTTGTCTAGATTTGATGTGGAGTGAGGCCAGGTATAAACAAAGATGCAAGGACCAAAGAACAAAACCACCACCATGATATGACTTGATAAAGTTGACAGAGCCTTGGACGAGCCACCTGAGGCATGTTTCTGAACAGTAATCACGATAAAAATGTAGGAGATGATCAGCATGAAGAATGATCCCAGAGATAAAAACCCACTGTTGGCTGTGACCATGAACTCTAGTCTATAGGTATCTGTGCAGGCAAGTTTAATGACTCGAGGAATGTCACAATAAAAGCTATCCAGCACATTAGGACCACAAAATGGCAATTTTATAACAAAAATTAGTTGAATCACAGAGTGACTCAAACCAATTATCCAGGCAGCACTCAAGAACAAAATACACACCTTTTGGCTCATAATGTTCTGATAGTGGAGAGGCTTACAGATAGCCACATATCTGTCAAAGGCCATAGCTATTAGTAACACCATCTCCACAGCACCAATAACGTGAAGAAAGAAGATCTGAGTAATGCAGCCTCCAAAGGAGATGACACTACGTTTTCTGAAAAGATCATAAATCATCTTGGGAGAAATAATAGAAGAAGTACCCAGGTCAATAAAGGACAGATTAGCCAACAGAAAGTACATGGGAGAGTGTAAGTGAGAGTCAGAAATCACAGTCAAGACTATGAGAGAGTTTCCCATCATACTTGCCACATAAAACATGGAGAAGTACACAAAGAGGACAATTTTGATCTCCCAGGTACTGGGGACTCCCAGGAGCACAAATTCTGACACCACAGAGTGATTTGCTCTATCCATTGATTTATCATCTACAGAACTCTATAGCTATCAGATAAAAGAAAACAAAGAGGAAAATAAAAAAGAATGACAAATTATACCCTAGAATTACAGTAGTTAATTATTTAAGTACATTCACACCATGAAAACTTTATATCTCTGCAATTCCTTCTCAAGGTCATAAAACCACTAAAAAAGCACTTTGCCTGTAGTCACCTAAAGCAGTTAAGTCCCTACTATGACCTCCTGGGTATAGAATGGAACAACTGTGAAAACATAGTGGTTGTGAATGACAAGGCTTGGGAGGGGTGATACTTTGAAACAATAATAATAAAAAAAAAAAATAGAGATGACCTCATTGAATAGAACTGTTCTTGAATTGCTTATGAAACATTTTTCAGCAATTCTAGTTGTCTCTCCTCTTAACCTTATTTTATCTTATGCACGTGTATCTTTGAGGTATTCTCATGTAGGACATAGAGGTGACTCAAAAATATGGAAAAACTAAGGCAATGATTAACTAGAGATTGAGGTCACAGAGTATCTGCATATGCACCCAGATATGTAAATAGAGTAGCTAATAGAATGGTTAATAGGCAAGATAGCACCGAGGTGTGAAAGGCGTAGGACGACAAGAAGTCAAGGAAAATCAATTTGAATTATTTGCTCAGATTATTCATAATCCCTAAATTAAATAATGAATAAGGAAGCCCACAGAAGAATTGATACATTTGAGTTTCAGAGCTGGAGAAGAATGTTGAAAGTACCATGGACTGCCAGAAGAACAAACAGGTCTGTGTTGGAAGAGATAAGTCAGAATGCTCCTTGGAGGTAAGGATGGTGAGACTCCATCTCTCATACTTCAGACATATTATCCGGAGAGACCAGTCTCTGTAGAAGAACATTATGCTTGGTAAAGTGGAGGGCAAGCAAAAAATAGACGACCCCCAAAGAGACACCCTGGCAACAACAATGGGCTCAAGAGTAACAATTGTGTGGTTGGTAAAGAACTGGGCATTGCTTGATTCTGTTGTGCTAGTGCGAACCAACTCAATGGCACCAAACAACAACAACAAAGTAAGCGAACCATGACCACACCCATAGGAACCCCAAACTCTTATCATTTTCTGAGGATAAAGAAGTGAGACTGAAGCTCATAGTGAACATACAATCATCAACTCTCTCATGTCGTGAACCCACATCTCCCTTGCCATTAGCCCTGTAATCTCATCTCTGTTTCAAACATTTCCAGTGTCTGACTGTTTCCTGACCCTAATTCTAGCTACAAAATATAATCTCCTGCTTATGCTATATTTGGACATGCTTCTAGAAGATGAGGTGAGTTGAGGAAAGAAGGAGGTTGAAGCAAAAACAGGTATGGTCTGGTTAAAAAAAAAAAAAATGCATGCGTGTACTTTTAATTCCATTTTCGATGAACATTTTAAAGCCCCTTTCTAAGTTTAAGGATGATAAGGTCAATTTATTCTGTCTCTTTGTTACCTAGAATACACATTGACATAAACAGTAAAGTTTTCTTGTTTGTAAAAATTCACTGAGGTAAAGACATTTCTTCAGGCCCATTAATTTCCACAGTTCCTGTTTATCTAGAAAGCCCAGCATGTATAAAACAAAGTTAAAACGGCTTTAACACATTTCCCAACCTCATACATGAAGAGAATGCCTGATAATCTTACTATAAATTTCCAGCTAATCAATCTTAATGAAACCTCACCTCCAGATTTATATTGACGCTTGTTTTAATTGCACAAAGTCTTAAAAAATAACAACAACAACAACAAATCATAAAAAAGGAAGAGAAGATAGTTCCCAAAGCAGTTCAACAGGGAACTTGTATTCAGCTGCTATCGTCCAGTCTTTAGCATATAATTAATAGCATCTTTCATATTTTTCCATCATACAGAGAAGAAAATATAAATATTCTTTTACCAGATAATAAATTGTTTCTGAAATACTTACTGAAGGGAATTCTGAGCTGGCAAATATTGACCACATACTTTCATGTCATTGTTCATAAAGATTATCCTTCAGAAGGGATATTCAGAATGTAGAATTATTTTCATTTATAGATAAAGAATCTCAAGCTCAAAATGTTAGCAATTTATATACCACAAATCTGATCAGAGAGAAAACAAAAATCAGGTTTGGTCATTCCAAATCCAATACTGCTTTTACTCTGTCACATGACTATGCTTATTTTTTCATGATCTAAAACAAATATTCAAGTTACAAACTTTAAATAAATTGCATTTTACAGAGAAGACTATTTCATCCCATATCCATTCTGTACAGATGTAAATTGATTTATTTAGGTTTTCACAGCTACTACTGACAGAGCAAAGACTTAAACTCACTGATTATTACTACAAATTTGGGCAGGGATTTAGTGGCTGCAGTGGGTAAGAACTAAAATATGTCACACTGTTGATACCAATAAGATAAAGTCAGCAGCCTATTTACTGATAAAGATGTCATGATAAATGACAACAATGACAGATCAGAACTAGAGATGAAAATTTGGTAGCCATTCAAAATTTGAAGCAATGACAAAGAAAGATTTACTTAAAGGAAAGATATAATGATATCAAAAAAAGTTACTATAGAGGAGACATACATGGACAAAAAGTAGAACAAACACATGGCTTGGTAACTAATCAAAAGGTTACTGATTCAAATCCACCAGCTACTCCCTGGGAGAAAGATGTCACAGTCTGATTCAGTGAAGATTTGCAGCCTTAGAAACCCTTAGACAGTCTTTCTACTCTGTTCTATGTGATCAGTAAGAGTTAAAATAGAACAATGGCAACAACTTTGCTTTTTCATTTATTATCAACATTATTATGTTACCTTTTATATTTTACATATTACTTCCCACTAACAAGTTCCTTTCTGTGAACTGCAACAGAAGAAAGAAAGAAAGATATGTTAATAAGTAATGGGTGGCAGTCACTTTCAGATGCTAGAGTGATTAAAAAGAAAAGACATTTAGTGCTGAGACAACTTTGATGCTCATAAATTGAGCAATATCAATAAAAGAAATGAAAAAGGATCAAAATTGTATGGAGGCAATGAATGGTGACAAGGTGGAGACAATTCAATAATGTAGGGTCAGAAATTTTAGGCAAATGAAGAATAAAAAGGGAAAGCAAAGCAATATGCTACACACAGACATGTGTGGGATAAAAGAAATCAAGAAAGAATTAAGTGATGATTTAAAAGACTTGCAAGCAACTGTGAGAATCCTGTTAAAGATGGATATCATAAACTTGGGAGAAATATCAACAGAAATACTTTTGTGACACTGTTCATGAAATACACAGTAATGCAATACACATTTGTTTGGTGCAATGAACAGGATGGAATATCGCAAAAAAGACAGGGAAATTTAGGGACTAGAGGTCTTAATGCTTTTGTTGGACCAGATTACATGCTGACAATATAGCAAGTGAATACAAAATGAGTTAATATATGGAAAAAAGAGGAATTAAAGATTTTTAAAGCAAGGGGAATTTAGGTTATAGTGACTTTCTTTCACAGCTTGCTACTCAAATTTAGAATCCTATTGGAAATCAAATTCACTTGTTTTTGTATGCCTTTTTCCATACAATAGTTGTATCTCTTCCTTCCTGGGCAATTTCTGCTTCTTTTGTTATACACTTCTCTGGGGGCAGGAGAACCTGAGTAAAGGGCTTTTTCTCTAGTAGATTATAGTCCTCCCTTTACCCCCACCACCTACCTTCACTGTCAAAGACCTCTGGTAGCATTATGGGCAGGAAGTAAGAGAACTACCCTAAACTAAATATTCTCATGTGTAGTATAAGTATTGCCTGCATCCCATCCCCCACCCTCCCTAGGAAAGAAAGGAATATAACACAATTGGAGACACAGTCTGCAACTATTTAGCTACAGTAAAAGGTTGTGACCCAGTGATGCATTAGAGTACTGGGATTCTCAGACTGAGATCATAAAACCAAAGGGATTCCCATAGGATTATAAGGGGGAAGAAAAGAGGTGTATACTTTTATAAGAAAACTAAAGATTTATCTTTCATTTATTACATTCTGTGTAGCTTATTTTATCTTATAACTCAGAAGAATCCATAATAAATCCCAAAACTGTAATCTTTAAATTGAAAAAAAAAAAAATGGTTGTAGAACTTGAAAATCCAGACTCCTCACTGTCAACAAAGCCCATTTATATTTACAAAGAGCATCAACTATGCATAAATGTGTATGGCTTAAAACAAAGAGAGGCTATGAACACCTAGAGTAACCACAGATTGGGAGAAAATAGGGATGAAGACTAAAACAAAGGCAAAGATGAATATGAAGAATGTATGCACAAACACTTTACTAACTGGAGAAATAACAAATCAATTACTCTTAAAAGGACAAAAAGATCCACTTCATCTCTCCAACTCATTTAATGTCAGTAACTATCTGTGGTTAAAACTAGAACCCAACAGCCCAACATGCATATACTGAGAATTAGGAATTGTCAGTATAACTGTCTATGAGTGATGCAAATGATTAACATGCTCAAACACTAACCAACAGTTTCATGGTTTCAGTCTACCCAGAAGCACCATGGAAGAAAGATCTGGTGATCTACTTTAAAAAAAAAAAAAAAAAAAAACCCTCAATGAAAATCCAATGGAGCACAATTCTATTATACCATACATGAGGTTACCATGATTGGGACTCAACTTACAACTGGTATGGGGATTTTGTTTTATTTTATTTATTTTAATACTTATTCTTAAAGAGTACAAATATTGTATATTTAAGAATCCTGTTGCCCACATTGGCATCAATCTCAGAGGTGAAACCAAACTCATTCATTGAATAAGAAATTTGCAGACCACTATCAGAGAAAATGATAAAATTTATAATGATCTATAGGCTCAACAGATACGCTGTACGATAAATACTGGACTGGTAATTGCAAGGCCAGCCATTCAAACCCATCAGCTGCTCCTCGGAAATCTTATACAGTATCATTAT